GTAAAGAAATACTTATAAGATATTTGTAAGGAGGAGTATTACTTTCCACTCATTCAGGAAATTTGAAAAATATCTCGCATGCAAATGACTCAAGTTTGATTCAAGGTTTCAAGTTTCGTGAACATGACAACTTGTTTGTGAATTGTCGAAAAACAATAAACCCAAAGCACTTCCTGTAACCCGGTGCTCGTATTTTTTGATTTATTTTAGGATTTTCGGTGATGTTCGTTCAGAAGAAGGAGATGTTCATGTCACACTACAAAGGCGTCTGTGGTAATGAGTCGTCAATCTCAAGATGTTGTGTCGGTTTAGTATTTTGGAGGTGCTCATAAGGGTAGTGTGTGCGCGCGTTCATAGGATGAGGGTGTGGGAGCATGTGCGTTGTACTCCCTCCGTTTTTATTTAGTCCGGTATTAGCTTTGGTCAAAGTCAAGCTTTATAAATTTTGATAAAGTTTATAAACAAAATATTAACATATACAATAACAAATCAATACCTTTAGATTCATTGTTGAATGTATTTTCACATTATATAGATTTGTTATGGTAATTTTTTTAGAAAAGGAAGATGTCCCCCGGCCTCTGCATCTGGATGATGTATACGGATATTTTATTAATTATTAACACAAGACCTTACAGATTCATACAACAATAAGACTAAAGCCACCAACTAAGCAACATCTGTCGCTATCCCTATCCAGTTGATGTAGGGGTGCAGAAAGTCTGGGCCTAATAACAAACAGACCTCGTAGCCAAACCTAGCATCTAAGACTTGAGGTCCCAACCAGGACGCCTGCCGGGTATGAGGCCGCCGCAGTCACGTGCCACCAATCCATCTTCATAGTTGTATTGCTGCATCAACCTTGCCCGGTCTAGCTGCCGTCGACGCCACCACGACGCCAGACAACGTCACCCTCCTGCGCGAGTCCATCTCCGCCCATCAGGCGTCGAGTCTCCACTGTCCCACGCCGCCGAGATCCGCCGTCATCAATGGACCAAATGAATCGCCGCTCCTCCACTTGTCCCCTCCAACCAGCACTTGCTTCAAAACGATGCCCCCATGAGGGAGAACAATACCAAAGGCACCGTCATCGTCCGATCCGGTGGACCCAGATCTAGGGTTTCCCCCGGAACTTCCCGATCAGGTTGATGTGACCTGCAACGACAATGCCTCCAGAAGGGAGCGACTTCTGAGACGCCGCCATCGTCCGCCGAGACCGCAGTCAGGCGCGATTTTCACCGGAAGCCACGTCTTCCCGACCTTGCGGCTGGCTAGAACCGAGCGGAACCTCGCCACGAAGACGTATGTCGCCGTCGGTACTCCGGCAGAGATCCGGCATCTCCTCACCGGTCCCTCCACGCGTCGCCGGTCGGCGAAAGGCCTCCCCGCGACGGATCCAAACGGGGTGTTGGATCCGCAGTGGCCTCCGTCACCAATCACGACAAGGACAGCCCACAGCGGATGGGGCGCTCCACCGCCGCCGTCCATCAGGGCTGCCGTCGCCGGCTATGGTGCTCCGGCCCCCGCCGCACAGCCCGGAGTCGCCGTCCGAGCCGCTGCCGTTGGATCGCACGAGAGGAGCCGCCCCCGCCGCCTCAGATGAGATCCGTCGCATCCACCCGCCCAGGTACCTTCGGCACCGGGCCCGCCGCCACTGAGGCCCACGCCGGCGGCAGGAGGAGGCGGTGCTAGGGTTTCAGGGCCCCTGGCGCCGCCCAGGGGGAGGCGACACGAAGGGGGAGGGGCGGCGTTATGGTAAATGTTTATGTTGTTTTCTATAAATTTGGTCAAACTTTAAGAAGTTTGACTTTAGTCAAATCTAATATGCAAAATAAATAAAAACGAAGGGGTAGTATATTAAAAAAAAGAGTCAATTACACCACCGGTGCTTCAACTTGACGCAAAAAATCACTTTAGTGCTAAAATTTGTGGTGTACATTGAATCGGTGCAACAACTTGGCTTCTTTGTGCAAATACGATGCAAATCACAGTTGAATACGCTGCAAGGCTGAGTAGGCATGCCAGCGTGGCATAGGGCCGCTGTCAGGGTGGCCTGTAAATTTTGCAAAAATATCCTCAGAAATTTTTTTATCACGAGAAAGCCCCAGCAAGGTGGGTCCCGTCTGTCAGTACAAAGTGTATATAATCATAAAAATTAGTCGTGCTCTGTCTTGAACGCGAGAACTGCAGTGTGCACGCTGAAGGTACTAGCCACGTCAGCCCCAACATTTACCATTGCCATACTGAGTACCTTTTTTTTTGAGACAAGCCATACTGGATAGCTAGCCTAAATATGTTATAACAAGTACGCTCACTGGGCATGGACAGCAGTTAGTGCGGCCCATTGTACGCGCTATCTTCTTAAGATATTTGCAAAATACATGTAGTAAGTAATAAAGCAATGTTCAAATATTTGTATGCTATAAATATTATACATAAAAACTTATGATTAGTAAACAAAAGCATTCAAAATGTTCAATGAATACGAACATTTTTGTACAGTCGTGGCTCATATTTAAATTATAAAAAATATTGAATACAAACATTTACTAAATATTTAGGACCATCAACTTATGTATAATTTTCACTTGTGGCCTATATTCAATTTTTTACATAACTTAAGTATTACCAATTTACCACTGTTGAATATTCATATCAAGATTTTATTTTCTAAATTATGAATATTTGTTTACTATACAAAAATTATTTTAAATGACATTCTTATGAGTTATAAAATTATGTGTATAATTATTGAAACGTTTCGATAATTTAAAACAACATTTATGAATTATAATATAAGAAATATTTGTATACTTTAATTAAACATTTTTATAATTCATAAACTAAGTACATGAAAATTTCAAAATAATACGTGACCATTTTTAAGTAAGTTATTTCATTGGTATGTATAATATTGATAACACACCGATATAACACACCAGTATAATTTTTGTTTCTATTCATGTGTTATAATACATGTTTTTTTAGAAAACACATAATCTTTATTAAAACAACTTCTTGAAGCAACATGTTTTTTCTAAAAGATGACTATTTTGTTAAAATTGTGATTTTTTAACTTATATGATAATCTATCTGAATATATACGAACTTGTTTAAATGACTTACACAAATATTTGTATATTTCTTAATTGAATATTTTATGAAATTATATGAAATTTTTCTAATTGGAGTGGAAGGATCGGTTGCATGTCTTTATGTGGTCGCTAGTTCGAGTCCCTAAGCCATCTGTTTAAACTTGTATGAAAAAAAATCTTAATTTACATTATTTAACGGAAATGTTATAAAAGATATATATTCATATGAGTCAATGAATTCCTAAGGCTGGAGTGGCTAGTTGCGCACGCCCTGTCCCTACAAGTCCTTGGTTCCAGTCCACAGTTGACAGATTTTGTTTTTCTCATATATAATGTATGTAGGATGCTGGGACAACTAATTATTTTTACCCACGTCAGGGGCTTTTTTGTGAGCAGAAAACTGTTGAGGGTGTTTTTGCAAAAAGGCGGGCCACAAGTCTCCAACTTTTGGTAGCTGACAGCGGACCCATGCCACGCTGTCACGCCTAGTCAGCCATGTGGGCATATTTAGCTACATTTTGAACCGTATTTGCACGTCTAAGCCAATTTGTTGCACCGGTTCAATGTACACCGCAAGTTTTAGCACTGAAGTGACCTACCACGCCAAGTTGAAGGACCAGCGGTGTAATTGACTAAAAAAAAAAGGAAAACACCGTCTTGACCAACGCGCCAAATTTTTTTTAAATAAAATCCACCTCAAAACGCCACTTGACCTGGACGCACACTCACGCAGAGCAACTCCGAAAACCCTCATCAGTCCTCTCGTCGTCCCTTCCCTTCCCTTCTTCTCCCCCTCCCCCAAAAATCCCTCGCATTCTTTTCTTCTTCTTCTTGCCACGGCGACGCCCACAGCAAGCGAGCAAGCGAGCGAGGCCCACTACTGGCCACCGGACCGGCGTGGCCGTGGATCCCCTCCTCCCTCCCTCCCTCCCTCCCTTCCTCCGCTGGTAAGCAACCCTGGCCCGGTCGGTCGTTTCGTTTCTCGCCGTGGATGTGGATTATTCTTCTCCGAGTCGATCGATTTCCTGGTCATTTGGCGCGCGGCGATCCATCCACCTCCACCACCAACACGAGTTTCTTTCAACCAGCGTCCATCAGGCGGATCCTTCGTTTTGGCTCTTGCCGTCGGGGGTTTTCTGGTGCAATTAAAGCTACAGATGCTGTCCATCCAAGGGCGGGCGAACAAGAAAACCCCCTTGCTTATTATCCATTCATTCATACCTTGGATATGCTTTTGTTGGATTTTCTCTGATTATTTTGCAATTTTGCTTACGTTTCTCGTTTTCCTAATTACTCCTAGTTTACTACTCCCTTCGTTCACAAATACAAGATGTTCTAACTTTTCTTCTTCTGAATCGGATGTGTATTCACACACACACACGCTCTAGTGTGTTTGTTCACTCATTTCACCCCGTATGTAGTCCATGTTGAAATATCCAAAACATCTTATATTTGTGAATATACTCCCTCCGTTCCAAAATAAGTGTTTAACTCTGTACTAGTTTTGGTACAAACTTGTACTAAAGTTGAGACACTAGTTTCGGGACACTTTTGAGGAAGTATATGTTGAGGCAGTTGAAGTGCATGTAAATGAAAGCTGGGCAGTTTAATCATGTTTGTTCCAATATGGACTACATAGAAAGCAAAATGAGTGAATCTACACTCTAAAATATGTCTATGTAGAGCCCGTACTGAAATTCCTAAAAGGGCTTATATTTAGAAACGGAGAGACTACTAGTTTTGCTATTCTCAGTGGGTAAAGCTTAAGGTTGTTATGTTAGGCCATGTCTAATGTTTCAGCTTAGACAAGTCAAGCCAAATCTTAAATCTGCTCTCAAAAAGAAGCTAATTCTCCAATGATGCCACCTCTTCTGTATGTGTCCATAGCAACCATAGCATGAACCAATGCTTACCAATATGAATCACTTCAAGTCATCTGATAGCACTGACTGGTTGCTCTTGATTTTGTGCTCACCCTCAGGGCATTTTCATTCATCTCTCTACATCCCAACCCCAATGGGACACAGCTCCGGAGAAGAATCCGACATCAGCGACTCGGAGATCGACGAGTACAAGGACAAGATGTACGCCCAACTGCGGGCCGGAAAAATGAGAGTGCGGTACGGCGAGAAGGCCCTGCGGTGCCCCTTCTGCTTAGGAAAAAAGAAGCAGGATTACAACGGCAAGGACCTTCTGCAGCACGCCTCAGGAATAGGGGTTGCTTCGAAACGCAAGCCTATGGAGAGGGCAGGACACCTAGCACTTGCTGAATATCTGAAGAATGATCTGGGCATCTCCCTGGAGCCACCGTTGCAGCTTGCCATCGTCGAGCATAAGCCTCCTAAGAATGAAGAGGTCAAGTACGTGTGCCCGTGGACCGGTATTCTGGTCAATCTACAAAATGATCTGAAGGATACAGATTGTGTCAGGGAGAATGAGGATAGGTTAAGATCACAGCTATCGCGGTTCAAACCCCGTGAGGTCAGTATTGTTTTCGACACCGAGGGCCAGGCTGATCACTCCATCATCAGGTTCGCCGAAGACTTGGATGGACTGAAGGATGCAATAGCTTTTGAGAACCATTTCAAGGCGGAGCATTACAGCAAGACTGACTGGAACATGCGGAACTGTAGAAAGGATGATCTTTACGGATGGCTTGCAACATCTGATGATTATAACTCTCCTGGCACAGTAGGTGAGCATCTGAGGAAAAGTGGAGCTCTGAAAAGTATTGGTGAGCTACAACGCGAGGGAACCGCCCGGCGTATAGCGCATTTTAATCGCCAAATGGACGAGAGGAACAAACGTATGCAAGAACTGAAGCTGAAGAACAGACAAAATGAGTTGAAACTTGACATGATGATGAAAGAAAAAGTTCGGTTGGTCGAGGAACATAATAGAATATAAGTTTTGGCGCTCTTTATTTGTCTTTTGCAGAATATTTTGCATACTAAATGATCTCTTACTCATTCGCTGCGGAGATGTTTGCAGCAATAAAATCATCTTCGTGCTCACTGAACTTACTGAGTTCCTTTTCCCCTTTGATGACCAGAGATAAGATAGATGCGGCAAGATGCCGAAAGGAATTCCAGGAAAATACGTGAAGGTAATCTAAGGTTGAAACAGGAATTGGAAACCAGGAGACAAGAAATCCATAAGCAGCAACATGATAAGTTGGCTAGAAAAGGTATTAGTATTGACAAAGCAACAGCCGAAGCAGAGAAAGAAAAGGTGATTTTACTTGTCTTCTCCAATACTGTTTGATGTTTCCAAGGCTATGAAAAAGGAGTAGTAGTAGTAGTAGTAATAGTAATAATAATAATAATAATAATAATAATAATAATAATAATAATAATAATAATAATAATAATAATGATTGCTGTTCAAAACTGACATCAATCTGAACTTATGCATGCTGTTCAAAACTGACACAGAGTGCAAATGAGAACGCTCTTCTCAAGTTAGCAGCCTTAAAGCAGAAGAATTGCTGCGAGGAGGTCACGCGGCTTGTTGACAAATATGAGGTATTGTTTTCCTGCATTTTTTATGTGTCTGGTGTGTGCCTAAAATACATTGTTTCACTGCTTGAAAATTGCAGCAAGACGAAGAAAATGCTTTCAGGGAGCAATGCAAACTGGGAAAGGACCTAACTCGTAAACAGGATCTTGAGATGGAAATAGCACAGTTGAGGGTAAAGTTAGAGGTAATGAAGCACAAGCGAGCCGCGGCAGACGCAGCAAAGGAAATCGATAAAATTTCTGAAGAGCTGAGAGAAAAAAGTGAACAGCTTGATGCTATAAATTCTGCTACCGAGGCCCTTATTGTTGCAGAACGAAGGATCAATGAAGAGCTTCAAGAAGCCAAGAAAGAACTTATGGAGGTATGTGTTTTGCAATTCTTAGCAAGTCAAGATTAGTTTGCTATCTGTTCTTCATGCCGAATTAATATACCAAGCCATCATTCTCCGCTAGTGAATTACTCGCTATATATGTAGGGCCTTATAAAAGAAGCATCAGGAACTCGATCCACTATCGGGGTCAAAAGAATGGGTGAGCTTGATAAAAAGGCTTTTTGTGCTGCATGCAAAGGGAAGTTTGCAAAAGCTGATTTTGGAGAGCAGTTGGCAATTCACTGTTCAAAATGGGAAAATGAGATCGGCAACCCAGATTGGCATCTTTTCAAAGTTATTACTGTTGATGGAGAGGAAAAGGTAAACCTTGGCTTTTAATAATACTGATCCCATAGGAGGAAAATGTAATACATCTTGGGATGTTCTTTTCTGGCATGGCTTGATGCAGCTGCTTGTGCATCATCACCATGATTTTTTTTTCAACCGTCGAAAAAAGAAGAGTTAAACATCGGTATCGTTTGGATCACAACTGAATGTGTTGCATTGCTGAGTGAAACCTATTTCCAATAATGGAAATGTTGTGTGATTATCTGGCTGCAAACTAATTGCTTCAGATGTGTGAACATAATATCCCACCTGTAACACTTTGCATCACCGATCTGTTTTCTACAGAAAGCAGATCTCAGTCAGACCCAAGATCTAATAGGCATTCTTGGATGGTGCAGGAAATATTCCAGGAAGACGACGAGAAGCTGAAATCCCTCAAGGAAGAGCTGGGCGAGAAGGCGCACGACGTCGTGGTGAAGGCCCTTGCTGAGATGAACGAGTACAACCCGAGCGGCCGGTACCCCGTGCGTGAGCTGTGGAACTTCAAGGAGAACCGGAGAGCGCCGCTGGAAGAGGCGGTGGCCTACCTGCTCAACCACTGGAAGAAGAACAAGAAGAAGAAGGCCTTCTACTAACCAACCAAGGCTGCTAATGAGTTCAACACCTTTGCGACTAAAACTCCCTCCAGAAGAATTACCCATGTTTCTTTTTCATGAGTAGTAAGTCTTGCGTATAAATTATTAATACTCTTTTGGAGAGTTGATGGTTGAGATATTTGAGAAGAAGATATTTTACGTCTCCCCCAATGCTGAAACATACTTTCCCACGTGAGGCGAAAACACCGAGAAATTGCTTTCATGCATTTTTTACGTGTCTGCCGAAATGCATCTTGAAAATTGCAGCAAGCGGAGGAAGACGTACGATGCTTTCAGGAGACAATACAAATTGGGGAAAGGACTTAACTTGTAAACAGAATCTTGAGATTGTATTGAAAGGAAAAAAAGATGAACAACTTGAAGCTGTGGATTCAACCAGGCCCGGCCTTGTTATCGCGGATCGAAAGATCAATGGTGAGCTTGAACAGGCAAAGAAATAACTTATCAAGGTACTAGTATGTCTTGTGCAATTATTAATTCGCAATGCGAAAGGGTTATACTCCATCAGTTCTTAAATATAAGTCTTGTTTTTAGAGATTTCAATATGAACCACATACGAATGTATATAGACATAGTTTAGAGTGTAGATTCACTCATTTTGCTCTGTTTGTAGTTCATATTGAAATCTCTAGAAAAACTTATATTTAGAAACTAAGAACATCTCCAGCCGCACCCCCAACAGGCCCTCCCCAGTATAGCTGGCCAAATGGGCCGGGCTAAACAGGCCAGCCCGCGAGCACACCGGCACGGCCCGCCATGGGCCAGGCACGACACGGGCTAAACGGGCCGGGCCCGGCACGCGGCACGCCTTGGGCCGTGCGTGGGCCTGGAGCCTGGGCACGCGGGCCGGCACGACACGACCCGTTTAATTTTTTATATATTTTTCAGAATTTTTTTATATATATATACCTAAAATATAGCCCAATAGGCCTAAAAACCAGCCCAGCAAGCTGAAAATGTGCAGCCCAGCGTGCTAAATGGGCCATCGGGCCGGCCTGTTTACTAATCAGGCCGTGCCTGGGCCAAGGAGTAGCGCCCGTGGGCCGGCACGACACGGCCCGACTATTAAACGTGCCATGGCGGGCCGTGCCGGGCCAGGCACGATTAGCACAGGCCGGGCCGTGCTGTGCCGGGCCGGCCCGTTTGGCCAGGTCTGCTCCCCAGCGCGAAAAAATCGCCCCAGTCGCGCCCTAAGACACCGAATTCCGCCGGCTCAGCCCGTTTTTGGGCCCGGCGATCTCAGGACAAACCCGGTGCACTGGGGGTGCTCGGGGGCTCCGACACAAGGGAAAAGCGGACCTGGGGCCACACTGACACGCGAAAAGTCAAGCCAACCGTTCAGATTCGTCTCCGACCCCCTTGCGCTCGGCCGCCACCCTGCAGATCCCGACGCCGTCCTCCACCCACCACCAGCTAGATAGACCATTCCCCGCCGAAAAAGAGAAGAGGTTTCGCCGATGCAGCCTCTCCACCGTCGTCCGGGCAACTTTTCCGGCGTTCCGGTCGCGCAGGGGCTGTACACCGGTGGGTGTGCGCCCACCTCGCCCGCAAGGTGTTCGATGATTTGTCCGGCCCGGTGATGGACTCGGACGACGAGGAGGCGCTCGCGGCGTTGCTGGAGGAGGAAGCCTAAGCCGACGTCCAAGAGCAGGAGCATCTCATGGTGCTCGCCGCCCTCGCCGACCTGCTCGCGAGCAATAAAAAGCCACGGCGAGGTGGCTCGGCGCCGGTGCGGGTGAAAGCAAAGAACCAACATCGTCTGGAAGGCTACCACATGCTCTACTCACTACTTCGCCGACGCTCCATTGCACGGCAAGAAAACATTTTGGCGCCATTATCGAATGAGCCGAAAGCATTTCCTCAGGATTGTGAATTCCATCCGGGAGTTCGACAGCTACTTCAAGTGCAAGAAGGATTGCACAGACACACCTGGATTCACCTCAATCCAGAAATGCACGATAGCTATGAGGATGCTTGCATACAGAGCTCCCGGTGATTCATACGATGACTATGGGCGCATGGCCGAGTCCACCACCATTGAGTGTTTCTACAAGTTCTGCAAGGCAATGATGGCAATGTTTGGACCGCAATACTTGTGAACACCCAATGCGGAAGACACTGCTCGGATCCTAGCATAGAATGCATCAAGAGGATTTCTTGGGATGCTTGGAAGCATCGACTGCATGCATTGGAAATGGAAGAACTGTCCATTTGCTTGGCAGGGGTTGTACAAAGGCACCAAAGGCGGTTGCAGTGTGGTACTTGAGGCAATGGCCACACAGGACCTCTGGATTTGGCACTCTTTCTTTGGGATGCCAGGAACTCACAATGACATCAACGTCCTACAGTGTTCCCCTGTCTTTGCCAAGCTTGCTGAAGGTCATTCTCCTCCGGTGAACTTCGAGGTCAATGGGCGGCACTACAATAAGGGGTACTACCTAGCTGATGGCATCTATCTGAGATGGTCGACATTTGTGAAGACTATCTCAATCCCTGTGTCAGGAGGCAAGAATGCCTTCTTTGCGAAGGTTCAGGGGCTTGCAGGAAGGATGTCGAGCGGGCATTTGGTGTGCTCCAATCTCGATTTGCTGTTGTCCGGTACCCTGCTCAAACCTGATCGAAAGATCAAATGTGGGAGATCATGACTTGCTGTGTCATCTTGCACACCATGATCATTGAGAGCGAGCAGGAAGAGTCAGTGTTTGACACAAAACCATATTACAGGCAGGGTCCTCTTGCCCAAGTTGATCACCAGCTACCGGCAACCTGGACTGCCTACCTCAATATGCGTCAGGAGATCCGAGGCCCACAAGTGCATCAAGAACTGCAACACGATCTGGTGGAGCACCTATGGAGGCTCAAGGGCGACGCCAGGAATGACGTGTGATGAAATATGAGTTTTATTTGTTGAACTATATAATTTGTATTGAGCTATTTGATTTCTATTGATTTTCTATCATGAACTATGAAGGCAAAAACACGTCGAATTATGTGATGAACTATTTGATTTCTATCTGTTCAATTATTTATGGGAGAATCCACGCCGAACCGCGCCAAATATGGGCCAACTCACACAGATATCGAGCCGTTTTTGGACGAAAGTGGGCCGAATAATGGGTCGAAATCGGCTCCTGGGGGCGACCCGGGGACGACGGCTGGGTGACCAACCGCCCCAGAGCCGATTTTACTGCCGGCTCGCCCCCAGGCGGCGATATTTATGCCTCCTGGGGGGCCCAACGGCGCGAGATGCTTTAAGGGAGTATATAATTGAGGTTTTTTTTATCACTCTGACGTTAAGAACCTTGACCAATCTTAGCGGATTCCGCACACTTCTTTTCCTGCTTCTGTTTTCTACTTCCTCGTGTGTGTCGAGCTCACCGGCAACTGAAACCATTTGTTAATCAATCAAATCAAGTATGTGTGATGCGGTCAACAAGAATTAGATCTGCAGGTTGAAATCAAAAAGAAATTAAAGTTGAACATGCACTGATGCAAAGCGTTGGGTTGTCCACCCATGACAATGAATGCTTGGCGATCTTGCTTGCCACGGACACGGAGAAATGGAGGGCGTATTTGCAGTCTGCTGAGTTTCTTATCTACACAGACCAGCGAAGCTTGACGCACACGGTCGATCATTATGCAGCAGAAATCGTTGTATCGCATATTGGAATTCCCACACCGAGACGGCAAATCGGAGTTCGGAGGCGTTTCTACGATGCCTTGTCCATGCAAATCCAAAGAGGTGGTCGGAATGGTTGCCCTCGAGGAGACCATTGATCATCTTTTACCGGGCTACGTCTTCGTCAGAGAAGTTCGGGCTATCATGTGTTGTTACTACCACTCAAGGCCAAGGTGCAAAGGAATCACGTGCCATCTTACTTCTTGTGCTCACCGAAACACGATTGTCTTTGAGGGTGTCCCCCTCTACTTTAGGGCACTTGTGAACAGAATTGATATTGGAAATGTGAGCAATTTACCAAATAATTTTGCTAACGGAAATACTAGATAAAGCATGACTAAAATAGCAAATATAAAGCAAGTCATGCAATCTGACAGAGAAAAGGTAAACATCGTCTGCATATATGAACTTGAGCTAAACACATTTAGAACAGATACTAGATGAAGTTGCTTATAGGACATAGAACCTAACATACGTAGGGCAGAAACTAGAGCCAAGAACTGTACCAGGACTTCTAACAGAAAGGAGAAGAACACGTACGGCACAGCAGCAGCAGAAGCGCTGGACTTGGGGTCGGTGTCCTCGCCTGCCATGTCGTCGAGGAGGTCGTGGACGTCAGGGAAGAAGTCGTCGTCGGTGAAGTAGTCATCGGCGACCGGATCGTCCGTGATGAAGCAGCCAGTAGTCGCGCTGAGCGCTCCCCAAAACCTTATCACCCTTCTCCCGTACAGGACTCAAAAGGTGCGGTCTCGGAGGCCTACTGTCCCGACGTGCAGTGCACGCCGCAAGTCGGGATGAGGAAGACAGCAACAGCTCAGAGATGGAACCGATGACGAGGGAAGGAGTAGTTCTGGTGCGTCTCTCTGAGAGGAGCGACCTCCCTTTTATAGGCACAAGAGAAGGAGGCGAGAGGCTGCGCCGGGAGCTAAAGGGAATGCGGGAGACGAAACGAATAGGCAGCAGCCGAAGAGGCGCGCCGTTCGGATTCAGTGTCCACTACAGAAAAAATGTTTCAGCTTCCGAGTGACCTTTCGTATACCCGTAGTGCGTGGCAAAAATTTAGACATCGGCTCGGCTCATTCCCGCAACCCGCCTCGTGATGAGGCGTGGCGTGGCGTGGCGTGGCGTGGCGTGGCGAGGCGGGCGGCGGAGGAGGAGCGCGCGTGGATGTCCCTCTTGTTCTCATGCTCATACAAGTGGGGAAAGAACCTCCCTTATAAGGAGGTCCAACTCCCACTCAACTAGCAATGTGGGACTAAACATTAGTAGTATCCCTTACCTTGCACAAATGGGCTAAGTG